TATGACTTCAACATATTGAAGAGTTAGTTAATATCGAAATTATATGAAAGAGATTTATGTGAAGATTGTATTGAACAAAAATTTGAATAAAATCCTATGGGTTTTTTTATTCTTATATATTTCAACATGAATGTTTCTTTAGTAATGTTTACCATACATGATCAGAATACCTAATAATCAAAATTATAGTCTAATATATTCAAGGGTTGCAACGGCATATATCTTAAAATCAGAAATTATAATTATTTTATTTTATCCTGCGTTTCACTCCATTCATGAAACTATCATATTATAGATATTTACTTTTTTTTAAATGTTCCTCTTCAATTAGAGATTTTCAAATGCTAAAAATCCTAGTTTATTGTTTAAAATGAGGGTACGATAAATTTTAATTTCCAGGAAACTGAAATTTTTCCATATCATTATATGATAGATAATAGAAGCTAAAGAATACTGCTACAAAAGTCTACGTTAAATATTGATAATACATAGTAGAAATTCATTTTTGCACATACAATTCTAGGAATATAATTACACGTGTGGGATTCATATAGATCAGGAAATTTATTTCAATATTTGAATGTGTCTAGAAATGATATCTTTAAATCTGGCCCAGCTCCAGTCGAAACTGCACACATCACTTCTACATTCTTTTTATATTAAAATCAATTTTTTGTGCTTATTTCTCAAGAACATAGAATCAAATTTCGATGAAGTTTTTCTTATAGTCATTTCATTTGAATTTTTTAGAAATAAGAATATACTATTTCATGAAAGAACATATTATAATCATGCAGATATAGTGTTATAGGAATGGATCATGAAATATTAAAAAAAGAATCAGAATTTTCAGTCAAAAACAGGAAAGTAGTACCGCTGGAAGACCTGTACATTAAAGCAGTGATTATTATAAACTTGTATCCTATATTTTAATATCATGTTAAGAATATGAATATCTGATGAAAATTTTTCGTAGCAAATCTTTTTATTCGAAATAATTCAAGAGTTTTAAAATGAAATTTATTCTTGTAGAATGACAATAAAAGATATTTTCTTTTGACGTGCGTACAATATCCAACAATCATTCAACTCTTTTATTGTAATATATGAATAAGCACATAGAAAAGTATGTTTTCAAGTATAAAGATGGAATTTCCAAGAAGAGCATCATTATAATCAAAGAAAGCATTTGTATTTTATGAGCATTTTTTTAATTGAATCTTCGTCTAGACAAACATTTTCATTGGGATAAATTATTCCTTTCTTGAATTACGGCTGCATCTGAGTCAATAAAACGATAAAAATTGCATATATAATGTCGAGTAAGTCGTAAAACGATAAAAATTGCATATAGAATGTCTAGTAAGTCATAAAACAGCCACACTAAAACTTGAAATCTCTATTATAGCTCGATCAAACGGGCTCATTTTTTTACCAAGAATAGAGGCATATTCACACTCCAAATTCATATGGACAAGGTCAGTGAGAACCTTTGTTAAATACCACTATTGAATTCAACAAGAAAATTTTACTTGTTCACAGATAGGAAAAGAAAACAATATGCTCATCATAGGTTCTCACTAATCTCGCCCATACGGATTTGGAGTGTGAACATGTCTCTATCTTTGGTAAGAAAATCAACTCGTTTGCTCGAGCCGTAATGGAGATATTCAATTTTTAGTGTGTCTGTTTCATGACTTACTGGACACCCTAAAAACTGAAAGCTCTATTTTGTAACGCACTCACTTTAGGTCAATAGTACCAAACTTGAAAGTTGAATTCAATATTTGAATTGTAGCTCAAGTATTCAATTATTGGACTCTTCAATTCAACTGTTTAACTTTTCTAATTTCGTGACATACTCATTTAGATCGATACTCATGTGCGCGTTTCCGTGACACTCTCAGCCAGAGAGATGCCCTACGTATGTATGTTTCCATGATTGAGAAAGATTATCTGCTTGAGTCTTTCTGTGGCACTTTCATGGATAGAAAAGATCCGTGTCTTGAACGCACAAGTCAAATACTTGAATAGTTGAATATACGAAATTCAACCTTTCAAATTTTAACTATTCAACTTTCAAGTTTGACACATATATTATCACTATGGTTGACCGTTAGGTGCAGAAGTCGTTGAGTTTCGATTCCATTCAAGATAACATATGAAGTATTTATATTAAATGTCTTAGAAAAAAAAAAGAAATTGACATGTCTACGTATAATATTTATATATTAAATAATGTAGAAAAGAAAAATATCCTAAGATTATTCATATATTTGATTCAAGTAACATGTATCAGAAACTAATCTCTATCGATTTAATATGTTTTTGTTATTTTTTGAAAAAGTTAAAAAAATAAGGAAATTTTTAATGCACATACATATATTTACAGATATGCAAAATCATTGTAATTTTTCAATTTTAGTTTGATTAAATAATTTTTATAATAAATTAAACCCCCCCCCCCCCC